GTTTCCTAATTTAGATAAATAAGCAAAGGCTTCAAAACATGACTATTTAAATACGAGTGAGGTTCTGGGAATTGGGTAGTGTCAGAAAAGTGCTAGAACTCGACGAAACTTGGCCTCACCATCCACATACCACTGATAAGGTACGTAATAGAACAACGGTGTTATTCACCGTTTTTTTTCTCCTCAATTTTTCAGTATCTCACGAGGCTTATGGGCTGCCCCTCATCCTAGCCCTGCGGCCATACGTCAGATGTTTGGAGACGGGCCATGCCTGAGAGAGGGGAGCCTCTCTGAAGATCCCTAGACTCACTGTTGACCTGAAAGATGTGTGACTCCAGGCTCTGCCCCTCCCACCCGTGAGCGGTCCCAAGTCTCAGGCTTTGATTCTGTACATGGGCTGGGAGAGTGCCACGGGGAGCCTCCTCCAGCCTCCCGCATCCAGGCCACAGTAGGGAGAAGAGCAACAATTAAATCTACCTGTTTTATTTTCGAGGAAAAAAGGAAAGAAAAGCTTTAAGTTTCAGACTACCAAGAAATGGATTAAAGAATGATATCTTTCCAGATTTTGGCTGTACCTAAAGATCAACATGTTCTGGGCTTCATTCTTAAGTCATGATCACACACACACACACACACACACACACACACACACACACACACACACACAAGCACGAGGAACATGCTTTCATAAAAACATAAGGGATTCCATTCAATTTTAACCCCGAACCAGGCAAACCTGGTTAAGATATTTGAGCAAAGAGAACAAATTTAAAATCCAAATACACTTCCTTACAGATGACTGTTCAATTCGATTGCCAGTAAGATATTTAATATTCTTCTCTGAATCACCCTAATTCAATATGCAGTACAGTATGTACTGCCTGGAGGGAGTTCAAGTCATAAATACTATAGGGAAATATCTAATAGCTTGGAATTAACTTTTCAAGTGGCCAATAAGCTCTAAAATGCTGAGAAAACATTAACTCTGGTGAGGCTGAGCTACGTGCTCCAGCTCGAGCCCGTCTCCCTGTCACACCCCACACCCCACCGCCTTGCTCCAGGACTACTTGGGGCTGGGTCTTAAGGGGACAGGGTAGTGCCTTAGATGCCAGATGACGGTGGGGCCCCTTCCCATCAGACTGTGGTGAGCAAGGTGAAGGCTGCTGGCCGCAGTCACAGCAGCTGAGCGATCTGTGATTTCTGCCTCTCCTGCCAACGTCGGGGCCAGGGTTGCCGATGTGTTTGTGTTGGTGCGCGAGATGCTGGAGGGAGGCCATCTGCTCTGTGTGTCGGATTCCGGATTCCAGATGGTTATGGCAGGGTTTGGGAGCCGTATCCGCAGGGCTGAGGGCAGGATTAGGATAAAGAGGTGCGAATGGTGTACCATCGGGGAGGGAAAGGCAACTGCTGGGAACTGGATTAGAAACGAGGGCTGAAGAAAATGAAAGGGAGATCAGGGGGAGTGGGGGGAAACACAAGGGAAAAAAGGCAACCATCTCTGTTGTTGTAAAGGTCAGAGAGTAGCTATGTTGGAGACGGGCTTGTCCACCTCGCCAGATTCAACAGGACGCTGCGTTTTGGTTTCTACGGCAAGGTTTGCGCCGTCGGGGTCGTGGGCTCCCTTTCCAGGTCACAGGCGCTGTCTTCCCATCAGCCCACCCCACCCGGAGCCGCCCTTTGTTTGCCAGATCTACACACCGCCAACCCCCACCGCCTACCCACGTTCAGTTTTCACATATGGATTAAATCTCTTTCTGATCATCTAGAGCTTACTTTCTAAGGTCAATCTCTTGGCTTACTAGCCTGAGTCTGTATCGCTGTAGGTTCTTTTTAAAATATATTTTTATTGATTATAGAGAGAGAAAGGGAGAGGGAGAGAGCAATAGAAACATCAATTCTGAGGGAGTCATTGATCAGCTGCCTCCTGCATGCCCCCTGCTGGGGATCAAGCCTGCAACCTGGGCATGTGCCCTGACTGGGAATCGAACCGTCTCCTGGATCCTAGGTCGATGCTCAACCCTGGAGCCACACCAGCCGGGTATCACTGTAGGTTCTTAAGAAAGACTCATGACAACTAGGTCATGCTGTGCAAGAATTCAAGGCAATAATTCAAGGTTTACTGTCCAAATATGTGAGTGTGTACAGATGTGTATATAACATCTATACACAACATATACACATACATGTATATTGTGTATGCATATATGTGTGTGTGTAAATAAATAAAACTAGGACTTGTAAGAGTTTTAAGATCCATCAGCTCACACATTTCTTTAGTGAAACAACAGCTACTCTTTGATGGGCTATGGCCCTGCATTTTCATGTGTCACTTCAGGGGGGATCGCTCTGTAAGTTATACAAATGTCTAACCACTGTGCTAAACACCTGAAACTAAAGTAATATTGATTTAAACTGTCATTAAAAAATAAAAAGCATGTAAAAATTAAATAAAAAAAGAAAAAGAAACAGTACAACATCAGATGGTTCTAAGCAAACACACCAACAAACAAAACCAGCCTAAAGTGGGCATCTGGGTACTTCTTTCTTAGGCTCTGATGCAAATTTCAGGTACTGTTTCCTCTTTTATCAATTTTATTTTCTCCTCTGCTTTTGCAAATTCCACTCAGGACTTTATAGTGTCAGGAAAGCAGTGGGACAGAAAGGGGGGTGATGGGGAGGGGCAAACCCAATATTTACCAAGTTCTATGAGAGCAAAGACCTGTCATTATCACCTCTGAATACCTTGGTATCTGGAGATGGGAAGGTGCTCAACAAACACATGTGGAATGAGTGAAATTACTGATGTTGGATTGTGTGCTTGGGGCTGTGCTGAATGCTTTTAAGAAGAGTCCTGAACAACTGGGCCATAAAATATGACTCCATGTAACAATGTGCATAATAAGAGAACACAGTCTGTGAGGCAGCACCTTCAGAGCTCAGGCTCATGCTGAGACTGTGGTCCCAACATCTCAGCAGGCAAAACGAGAGAGTAAGTAATAACCCATCGAACCAGGGCCAGGACCACTCAAGGGCCAAGACTGGCCTGAAGCTCATTTCTGTGCAGCCCAGGGGCTAAGAATGGTTTTCACATTTTTAAAAGGGTTATAAAACAAAACAAAGAAAACTAGACATCAGAGACCTGTGCGGCCTGCTACACCAAAAATATGTACTGTCTCGCCCTTTATGAAGTTTGCTGATCCTTGCTCTGAGGAGATGCTAAGAATGTGCTTCTGAAGTTACTGTTAGCCTAAAGTGTGTTTGGCTTGAATTTCTGTTTTAATACAATGAGAATGCAAGACCGAGGCCTGTCAGAAAGCTCTGTGCACATCCTGGAGCCAAACACACACAGTTCATCCAAACTGAGTGCAGCCCCGTAGCACTGATTTATAGAGCATGCACCTTAGTTAATTTGTGCTCACTTATGTGCCTTATTTTGTAGTATGATTTTCTGGTTAGAGTTTTGTAGTGCAAACAAGTGCCCTCCTAGAAGACCTGTGGGTGGCAAAACTGTAAGGGTGCCCACACTGGCCCACTTGGTGAAATGATCATGAGGCTTCGTTATGGAGCTCTGACGTCATCTGGACTCTCGCTGAAATACTCAAGGGATGACCTGGTTACCTTTCTACTATTTTTCATTAAATCCTGGAAATTTGGGGTCATTGTTTCTTCAGTAACTACTTTCTGTTCCATTTCCTTCTCTTCTCCTTCTGTTGTTCTAATGATACGTTTGTTAAAACGGTTGATAGTGTCCCATAGGTCACCAAGTCTTTCTCATTGTCAATAATTTTTTCTTTCCATTTTCCAAACTGGATAATTTCTAGTCTTTTATCTCCAAATTCACCGATTTTTTTTTTTTTTTTTTGGTCATCACCAATCTGCTGTTGGACCCAATGAGTCATTTTTTTAAAAAAATTTTCAGATATTGTATTTTTCTAAAAATAGAAAGAACTAAAGTTTGGTTCTTTTTTCAAGTGTGTCATTTTTTTCTGCTTAGATTTCCTATGTATTCATTGATTATATTTTTCCTTATGTGTCTGAGCATAATTGTAAGAGCTGCTTTGAAATTCTTGTCTACTAAGCAGACAAATAGAACTTAATTCTTCATTTGCCAAAGGACATGTAAAATCAATAAAAAAAAAACCCCACATTCTTGCTTTCCTTCTTGTCTTCCCCTCACACACATCTTAACAGTTTGACAAAGCAAAGGGGGTTGGCACAAACATCAAATGCTTTGTGAAACTTTGGCACTGGACAACTGGCACAGGTTGAGCTTAAGAAACCCTCAAAATTGTCATGTCCAAAGTCCAGTCTCTACAAAAGGCAAACCTGCCCCAACCTGATTCACAAAACCACAAAACAAAAACCAAGCTCTGCAACCCAGAGAAGAACAGAGGCCAGGGATGACAGCACACGATGAAACAGAGACTTAGTTCTTTGCAACATCTCCAAATGGACTACCACATTTCACACAGTTCATCTCTGCTGACAGCCCAGGGAATTCACTTCAGAGCATGTGAGCAACCTGACTGTGAAAGCCGGGGTTGGGCACAGAAGGGCTGATGGATTCTAAACAAACACCAAGATCCTCACCCACTGGCATTCATTTCAGCTACTGAGCCAGACCAACCACACAGGCACACTCACCTGTGTGCACATACTCACGGGCACTTACACACTCTCACACTGGTCTCCTTTTAGCACAGGGAGCTGACATGTACCAGCTGAAAGTGTACGGTGATAGCTATTTTTTCTCTATGAGCTGTTCTTTGTGGCCTCCTATAAGACACCTCCAGCTAGGACTGTACATTTCCATCAGAGCTCTGGCTTAGCGGCTAGAGATTCAGTACTTCAAGCAAGCACAGATCCCTCAGTGACAACGAGGGAACATGGCATAGAGTGGTGGCATATACTGTGGTTCTGACTGTGTATTATCGCCCCCTCACTCACGGTGCTGCTGCCCCCACTCTGGAGGGTCTGAGCTGGAGAACCCAGCTCCTTACCGTGACTGGCATGGGTGTGAGTTGCACCTTCGGACCTGGGGCTCTGGACGGCTCGCTGGAGGGCAGTCGCTGTCGTTCACAAGAGTTGTGGTCTTGTTCACAATCCGTGTGCAGGACACGATGGTCCTGCGCTCCCCTGGAAACCAAACCACAGGGAACTGGGATGAGAGGCTGAAGCTCCTCACACCTGGACAGGGCATTCATTCCTCCTATGGAGCAGCATTCAGGGGCATTTTTCTGATTAGTTAGTCATTTAACTGACTACTCTCAAGGAGGGAGAACTATAATCCTAGTGACAAGGGTGTAAGACGTGGTGAGGGCAGTGTGGGGCAGGAGAAAAATTCTAGAATAGGACCAGAAAGAGGCAACCCCTCAGCTTAGCAGTGTCCTAGGTAGCTAAGAATTCATTGAGGCCAATGTACTGACCTAGGTCTTTAATCTCTACCAACAACTGCCAGTCTCTCTACCTGTTCAAAGTCTATGGAGGGCTGGTCTTGATTAAATACTTGGACATGGACCCTCACCAGGGATCACGGCTTCCTATTACAGAATTTCTACCTGCTGGACAGATGTGAGAAATAGGGAGGCGGGTCTGAAGGACAGAGACCTGCATTTTCCAGGCAGTGCAGCCATGTGGGCACAGCACCAACGTGTAGGAGACCCTGGCAAAGCATCCTGCATAGAGCTCTGTAGTGGGACATGGTTAAGTTCTCTTGGAACACTGGTTACATGGCCAGCCTGTCCCACACCCTGTGCACTAGCCGCAGAGTGCCCGCAATCCATGTCTCCTTCTCCTAGCAAAACGCTGCACCCAGGAGCCCAGGACCCCAGCGCTCACCTCCTCCACACTGCACGCTGCACCCTTCCCAGCCGCTGTGGGTCCAGATGAACAAGGAGTCCTGGGGTTTTTCTGGTTCACTCTGATTTTCAGCAGTGTAGTTTACAGGGATGGTGTACTCGTAATGAATTCCATAATTTTGGTCATGAAATAACAACACCTGAGGGGCAGCAAAGGGAAAGGACATTTTGAAATCATGCAGTAGCCCAGGGTTGCTGAACATGCAAGGTGAGCCTCCTGCGCTGTCTCCCTCCCAGTGGGCACTGGAAAACAGGTTTGACCTGGGGGTGCTCCTTTATTTCAGTGCTGGGTTCCACCGACACTCAACCCAGGGTAGAGCGTATGCAAACCGTCGGCAGAGTCTGCTCTTTCCCATGTACAGAAAAGTACCCATTCCCCAACCTCACCCACGAAACTGTCCCTGCAGGCAAGAAAGACACACATATACTGCTTGTACCTAACAGGGCATCTGAGCAAGTAGAGTTACTCTATTTCTTTGAAAATGAACATCCTTTTACTCCCCTGACACCAATCGCTGTTAAGTGTAAGGCAGGCTCAAGGGCAAACGCAGCCACCACAGGGGAACCTTGGGGATGTCTGTGTGGGAGTCCAAGGGTGCAGGGGAGCTAGGGTAATGAAGATGCCTTCAGGGCGGCAGAGGCCTGGCTCTGGGAGTGAGAAGTGGGGAATGTCCTGCAGCTTAGAGACTGTGGGGTATGAGATCCTGGTGAGTGAGCAGATGGATGGGCCTACTCTTTGCCTGGTGATACATGTGACAAACCTTATAAGGACAGAGGTGGTCTCCTGGCTTGATCTTTACACAAATGGTGCAAACTAACTGTGCAAAACAAGCCCTCATGTGGGATCTTAAGTGGCCTGGCTGTGGGGGATGTGTCCTCAGGCTGGGGTTGGAACCAGTGGGTCCTCCTGGGTCAAGTTCACTTCCAGGCAGAGAGGTCCAGGAGAAGGGCCAGCAGGGGCTCAAGGCAGAATGTGGAAAGTGAACAGGAGCTATCTTCCCTCCCGAGCATCTCCCGGCCCTCCAAGGGCTTGAGTGTGGGGTGGGGGCGGGTGCTAAGAGCAGCATAAACATCCACTTCTCCAAGAAACAGACTTGCAGTAACGCATTTGGAAACATGCCTCTAGTTTAAAAAGAAAGAAAAAAACCTCTTTAAAAGAGATCTTTATTATCTCAGTATGGGACTAAGACTGGTGAATGGAGAATCCATATGAAACCAATTTCATGCAATTTTGCAGCCACGTATAATTTGTGTGCATGTGCACAATTGATTTCAAATGCAGGTCCCCGTGGCTCCGCGGGTGCTCCTGACCCCGCCAGCAAAATGCGAGCCTCCTGGTTTGGGGACAATGACTTCTATTTACAGTCAGAGGGGGGACCTCTCATTTCTACGTTTAAAAACTTGAAGTAACAATCATATTTCAAGGGAGAAAAGCAATTAATATTAAAGAAGGCCGGGACTTGGGCGGCAGCGGTTGTGGCTCTCTTTGAGTTTTGTTTATTGTGATCTGAATGAATCCAGGCTGTGCATCGGCCTGAACAGGCTGACGATTCACTCAGGGTATGAAAACTGCGAAAAGACGGGAAACAGACCCATCTTGGCATTTGCTAGAGAAAGCAAACGTCCTGGCTAACAGGTGACGTTTTGGAAGGGGTCTCATCGTCTCCTCTGTCTCCTCTTTTGCCTCTGAATAACGGCTTTTAAATGAGGACGGGAGGGCTTGTTCTCCTGACTTAGACCAGGAAACAATTTACCACAGAGAAATGGCTTGGGTACAGGTCCTCGGGTCCTGGAAACCAACTTGCAAGGCTGTACCTGCAGTGGATTTCGTGGGCTCGGCTGCAATGACCGATTTCCAGGCAGTGTGTGTCATGCATGGAAACCGGCTTGCTCGGCCCTCATCGGAAATTACAAGGGGCTAGGGCCATCATGGGTGACATCGCCATGGGTGCCAGAGGTGTCCAGGGAATTCTTTCGGTCTCACCTAACCTCCAGTGACTGCAGGTGGCCAGAAGCCACAACTTAATAGGGGCAATGGACTTCCAAGCAGAGACCTGGGCAAACACTGAGGACAACATGTGCTGATTAGAGACACGCAAGCTGCCACAATCCAGGTCTTTTAAGGGCGACCGGAGTCAATCATTATGAGCTATTAGAAGTTAGCCATGAGGACTCCTGGGCCCCGAGAGGGAAGCAGAGAGCTTTGATAGTCTTAAAATGATGCATCGGCAGGTGTCTCAGGAGGTTGCATGGCACCCTCCCTGACAGGTAAGACAGGGCACTCTGGCCTGATCACACAGGTATCTCAGGACCACCTGGGGAGTCGAGATTCCCGTAGGACCTGGTTCCGCTTCCCAATTCCCTAATGCCTGTTGCAAGCAGAGTTTGGAAAATCTGAGTGATGTTGGTTTGGAAGGAAATGGAGTCAACAGCTCCTTTCCAAAAGGTAATTTCCAAAGTGGATACACAAACCATGGGGCGGATTGGTGCCATCTGATATAAAAACACAGACCTCGAGCGGGGCTGTCTGCTTAATGAGGCCAAGTCTCCCTGGCGGCCACATGGCTAAGCGGTTCCTTCCTGCAGGCAGTTCCTTTTGAGAAGAGACTGGAGCTCTGCCAGCGAGGAGTCGAGGCAAAGTTTGGAAAGGGGAGAATTCTGAAGCATGCCGCACAGAGATTAGATAAGAAAAGATTGAGACAGAGGCTGAGTCTGCAAGTGGCCAGGTGAACCGCCATGAACCGGGAGCATCTGCCCACCACCCAAGGCCCCAGGGAAGAAGTACACTGGGAGGCCTCTCACAGCCTCAGTCTCCGGACAAACACAAGAGCACAGCCAGTTACCATCAAGTGCAGCGGTACTTTGGTTGGTCCCTTGGCTGAAATTTTCTCCCACAAGCCCCTTCGGACATAGCGGACCGTGGTGCCGGCAATCTGGAACTCTCCAGGGAGTTCTATCTTCCAGTCGCTGTTGATGGATCTCCGACTGGAGTCTTTGAGAGCTGGGAAGAGAATGGAACACCATGGAATCGAGGGCACTGAGAATGTCTGCAAAGGGAATCTGGGTGCCCTGAGTGACAGGTCAGAGGCCCCACCCTCCACGGGGACAGGAGGAGGCTTGAAGTGGGAGAAGCCTCACAGGGAGCACACGACTTAAGACCCGAAGGACCCTCCGAGAGAGAGCTGCTGGGAACCGGTCTCAGCGTGGGCTGTGGGTCTCAGTGTGGGCTGTGGGTCTCAGTGTGGGCTGCGGGTCTCAGCGTGGGCTGTGGGTCTCAGTGTGGGCTGTGGGTCTCAGTGTGGGCTGCGGGTCTCAGCGTGGGCTGGGGGCCTC